ACTTAAGCTGTTAAATATAACAGTCCAATATTTACAGAAGAAGTGAGGCAAAAGCACCAAATCAAAATCCAGGATTCTTCATAACTGGTACCACAAAAGTTATACTTTGGCTAGGAATATATTACCAATACTATATTATTTTGAAGTTAGAAGAAATATATACTATTTTTGCTGCAATGGTAAGTCCAGATTTTTAACAAATAGAGGCTACTGTATTTTTTCTAAATTTAGTGTGTGGCATGCATTAAAGTTAATAATTTGACTAGAATTTTAACTTAATTGTATTGAGACGCTTCTCTCTTTTTAAAATAAAGGCTGCCAGTGGGGCATTAAGAAGGCACAACAAGCAGATGTGAAAGACTGAAAAAGTGGTTTACTTGTGGAGGACGGCTTGGCGGTGTGCTTATGAGAGGTGCTGGGCCCATAGCAGAGGCTGCATTCAAGCTCCTTTCCCTTTCATCCTGGTAAATTCGATCTCGTTCAGCTTCTGGCAGCTGCAAGAAGTTCTGCATAGCCCGAAGGTTTACTAGTAAAGACTGTGAGGCGGTCTTAGGGTCTTCTTCCTTTCGGAGGATTTCTGAGAGCAAGCCCTGTAGCAAAAACGAACACTGAAGAATTAGCCCGCACAATCTTTTGTAAATGTGCTCTGCAAATCCTTTCCTAATCATTCCTTTTTCTTTTCCATGATGTTTAGAACATGAACAGTCAAAGGCATTCACACTGCATAGGAATATATTAATGACAATTTAGGTAGTGGAGAAGAGAGCCTCAATTGTATTCTTAATTTTATTAAGCATCTGCTTTACATACAACATAAACTGAATCTGCCTAATTGGTCTCCTTCCTTTTACTGGCTTAACTCGCCATGAAATCTTTCACAGTCAGACAATCACAAGAAGTTAAGAATAAATGAAATCCACACAGTACAACAGCATTAGATTGTGTAGTTCTCATGCCAGCTAGACAAAGACTGTAGCGAAGCATCAGTTCAATCTTGAGCAATGGAAAGCCATTTCTAGAAACTCAAGCAGCACTTTGAAAATAAGTGATATTTGAAAATTAATCTAAGTGGGTTAATAACGTTCTTAAAGCATTACTTAATTGATTAAGGCCCTTATTTAATATATATCAGTATGCCCCCCCACCAAAAATAATTAAAGGAAAAATCATAATCAATATTAACTGGAATATGAAGGAAATTACACTGACAAGATACAGTTTGCAACAGCTGTTGCACTTAGGAAACCAAGCCCCAGGATACCTATTCTCTTCAGAATAGTATAGGAGAATACTCAATGGGAAATGTTTTGTCACCCGAGTCCAGGGGTGTGTGCATGTGTGAGGTTAAAGTCGTCGATTAAGCTCATGCAATGGGGGTATGAAGAAAGGAAACTGGTGATACTTGTAATTTTTTTAGCAGCTGGATGGATTTCTTAGAGGGGAATTTGGGGAGAATGCCATTTTTGCTTCAGGACAGGAAGGAAAAAAACCAGGCAATATAGACAATGAAACAGAGAAAGGCAATCTGAAGCGAAGATATCCTTTTTTCTAAAGCAAGGACAGGAGGAACAGTCTTGGACATTATGCTCCTATCTACGCTATGGAGCATGCTGATGTTGGTAAAACCAAAGAAGTTAGAGAAGGTCCTCCATGAAGAGCACAAGTCCTTTAAAGATGCAAATGTCAGCAGATGATGATTGAGGAGTCCTCAGTAGCACAGAAAGAAAACTTCTAGCACATGGAAGTAGAGGTGGGGGGAAAAGCAGGGCCTGTAGAAGCACCGCAGATCAGAAGCTAGTGCAGAAAACAGCTGTGTGCCTCTATAATTGCCTATCCCTCTGTCGTATTCTCCATGATTCACAGGAACTAGTGGCCGAATCCTCAGTTATTTGTGATGGGGGAAGAGGCAAATGCAAACCCATCCCATGAGTCCCAATCCTAAGGAATAATTTGGAGAACAACCCACATGGAATTTTCTTCATCCCTCCCCAAACACTCTCATGGGCTTTCTTGCAAGTGGGGATGATCCAAAGCATAATTTGACAGTTTTTACTCAAGAACTGAACCAGCATAGAATAGCAGCGTTACAAGCAGAGGTGTTATAGGGAAAGCTGAAAATTACCCTCCCCTCATGTTTGGAGTCAATATTTTCTGAAATAATTTTCAACATTTGGAACACTTGACATTGGATACTTTTGGAGGACAAGATGGTCTGACCCAATATGGCTGTTCTTATGTTTACCATTCATATCTATCCATCCATTTACTAGATCTCTGGATGCTACAAAAATGACCCAGTGCAAAGAATGCTAGTTAGAAATGGGTCCCTGTAATTTGTCAATAATTGTTCAATGACACTGAACTGCTATGTATAGAGAATACAAAGCCAGTTTCAGCACAGTCAGGCTACATCTAGACTACAAGCCTCTTTAGAAACAGGCTTTTTCTGCAACCACTAGACTGCAACCATTTCTTTCGAAAAATCATGCTGCTTTTTTGAAAGAGAGCACCAAGGGAGTCTGGATGCTCTCTTTCAAAAGAGTGCTTTTGAAAAAAGGCATTTTTCCTTGTAAAATGAGGTTTACTGCCGTCAAAAAAACCACTGCGTTCTTTCAATTTAATTTCGAAAGAACGTGGCAGCAGTCTAGACGCAGAGGAAGTTTACGACAGCAGTATAGACGCAGGGGAAGTTTTTTCGAAAAAAAAGGCCATTTTTTTTCGAAAAATACCTGTAGTTTAGACACACCCCTGGGCCTTTTTAATTTGCCAGGTGCAGAAATGGAGAACCATTGCTCACAACTACTATTAACAAGGGGTCAACTTGACTGGAGATGATGCAACTTATGAAGCGATAAGGATGACAAAACGGCAAGTCTTAGGCTTAGCTTATAATAGACAACGTTTCTGAGTGCAGCTATAATTAGCAACATCTCCCTATGCAGACACAGATTAAAATGGCAGGAAAGGATATTTTTGCTGGTACAACCTATACCAGTTCCTTGAACAAACTATATTATACTGAAAAAATGCTTTTATGCCAATATAAATTCTAAAGATTTTGTTGATTAGAAATGGTAAACACACACACCTAATTAACATTATTATATTCACAAAAGTTTCAAGTGTAGCTCTGGCATTCCCCATAAGCTAGAAAAGGAAATACTGACATGGGGGAGGGGTCCCTAGAATGACTTGAGACTGAAAATTCTAGTATATACACATGAATACAGAGGACTACAGAAGGTGCATCAACAGAATTGGGACGTACTATAGCATTATCTGCCTGCAATATATTTTGCTAGAGCTGGTAATGCTAGTCCTTCACTTTTCTGGATGCTAAAATTCAGCTAAAAATTGTATGACAAAATATGAACAGGTAAATCCCAATGAGCATTACTGTATGTCAAACCTAACACCCTGTCTAATATCAACATGGATAGATTTACCATCCACTTAGACCCAGACATGAAGTGATTTGCCAAGATACAATTTGTAGTGTGCTTTCCTGATACTATACTTCAGAGTGCATGATAACCAAATGCAGTTTTGCATGTTCAGCTTCAGTCTGTCAGCCTGATTGTCCAATGCTCTCTCCCCCACCCTTGAATGGAAATGAATTTTCTTAAGACACCAAGTCTGTTTAAAAAAAAAAAAAACTTTACAAGTCATCACAAGTATAATTCATTAGTAATTGCACAAAAATGTTCAATAAATATTATCAGTGCTTTCAAAAGCTAATTATGAATTCTTTAAAATGGGAGAGAAATGAAAGTGTCTGCCAATATGAACAAAAACATTGCCTGTCTGGTCCCCAGTTAGTCTCCTCTTTGAACGTAATCACTGATTCAAATAGATTTTATCAGCCTCATGGAACTTCAAAGCTCACAGAAGAAAAATGTGATTTGCTGAAACCTCCCCAAAATATGCAGAACGTCCTCGAATGTGATCTGTCTCCATTACAGCATTCTTAAATCACATGTCCAGGTGGAAGATTATTTGCAAACTCCACCCACAAGTTTGGAATCCTGCCAAGTAAGTTATAAGCAGACACATTTATCTATGTCGCTTAGTAGCAAGAGGAGAGCTGTCATGATAGTGTAATAGCACCTTTTTACCTTTTATTCAATAGTGATATGGATAGTGTGCTTTTTCTTAAATTACACTATGAAGAATTATATGAACACAGCGGCAATTTCTGTTATACTTAAGCAGGCAAATTTCCCTCCATCACATAATTTACAGAACTCAAATTCAATAAAACATTACATGATGGTCCATTACTGTTATCAATTTTGAATAATCCATCTTCATTCTTCATTTTACTGGAAAATAAAGTGTGCCAAAGACAAAATGAAAAAAGAAAAAAGCCTAGGAAGGTGATCAGCGTAAACTTCAGATTTTGTTTTAAAAGGACAGTCTATACTTTACTGCACCCAAATGTTCTTCCTTTAAAACAGTAATTGCCCAGGATTAGCACATGCATAGTCTTAAATATCTAGAAGACTTCACATATTTTTGTCGTACTCTATCATAAAAATGAATGGTTGATCAACACTTGGCTTCATTTCTCTGGGAAAATAATGGCACAATGAAAGCTGATATTTTAAACAAAATAAACACAGGTCGAATGAAGGTGAGGAAGAAACGGTACCCATCAAAAACTTTCAGATATGTTCAGATATATGTACCCAGTGCCTGGAAGACCGCTAATGTGATGCCAATAGTTAAAAAGGGCTCTAGAGGTGATCCTGGGAATTATAGACTGGTAAGCCTAACATCTGTAACCGGGCAAATTAGTTGGAACAATAGTAAAGAATACAATTGTCAGACACAGATGAACATAATTTGTTGAGGAAAAGTCAACATGCTTACTGTAAAGGGAAATTGTGCCTTACTAATTGACTGGAGCTCTTGAGGGGATCAACAAGCATGTGGACAAGGGGGATCCAGCGGATTAAGTGTACTTGGATTTCTAGAACACCTTTGACAAGATCCCTCACCAAAGGCTCTTAAGTAAAGTAAATTGTCATGGGATAAGAGGGAAGTTCCTCTAATGGATTGATAACTGGTTAAAAGACAGGAAACAAAGGGTAGGAACAGATGGTAAGTTTTCTGAATTCAGAAAGGTAACTAGTGGTGTCCTTCAAGAGTCTGTACTGGCACCAATCCTATTCAACCTATTTATAAATGATCAGGAGAAAGGGGTAAAAGGTTGAGGTGGCAAATTTGCAGAGGACACCAAACTGCTTAAGATAGTTAAGACCAAAGCAGACTGTGAAGAGCTTCAAAAAGATCTCACCAAACTAAGTGACTGGGCAACCAAATGGCAAATGAAATTAAATGTTGATAAATGTAAAGTTGAGAAAAAATAATCCCAACTCTACATACAATATGATGGGGACTAATTTAGCTACAACTACTTAAGAGACAGATTTTGGAGCCATCGTAGATAGTTCTCTGAAAACATCCACTCAATGCGCAGCGGCAATCAAAAAGCAAACAATATTAGGAATCATTAAAAAGGGGATAGAGAATAAGACAGAGAATATCTTATTGCCTCTATATAAAACCATGGTGCACCCACATCTCC